TATAGAGGATGAATTGGAGAAGGCCAGACCGGGGACAAAGATTGGTTGTAAATCATTGCAGTAGGCCTGTGGAGAGGTGATGGGGACCTGAATCAGCGCAGCAGTGGGGATGGAGAAGGAAGTGAAGAGGAAAGGAAAAGGTGTAAGAAATACTAAGGAGGCTAAAATGATGAGTGAACGGTGGTGCCATTGGGTGACAAGAAATACAGGAGGAGGGACTGAGGGGGGTAATAACAAGTTCCATTTTTCCATTTTTAGAAATGTTGAGTTAGAGGTACTTGCAAAATAGGCGGGTGGAGGTGTCCAGTAGGGGACTGGATATTTGGGTCTTGTGCTCAGTGAGAGCTTTTGGGCTGGAGATGCATGTTTGAGAGTCATCTGCTTGCAGATGTAAGTTGCACCACAGGAGTGGGTAAGATTACTCAGGGAAAGCAGGCGGAGAAAGAAGAGAAGAGGCCAAGGACAGTGCCCCAGCTGGGGTTCACAGGTAATTAAAGGTTGGGCAAGACGTATGCAGCCAGTAGAAGAGAGAGAGAAGGACGAAGAGAACCAGTAACAGGTGGTATTTCAAAAAGCAGTGGAAGAGGGTATTTCAGAAGGAAGAAGGCAGCCGTGTCAGATGCCACAGATGGATCAAGTAATGTCAGGATGGAGAAGTTCCATGGGATTCGACAAGTAGAAGGACTTTCTGTTTGAGGGACTTTTGTGTCTTCATTTCTCATATATAAAGCTGGATCAACAGTGCCTTTCTTTGAGAAAGAAAAGGATAAGATGGAGAACACATGAAGGGAGGGTTCTCTATTCCAAAGAACATGAGTGCCCCTCTGCTAGAGCACAGCCTGCATGTTCAGCAGGTTCGCATGGCTCCCAGGCTGAACCGACCCTCAAGATGGTGAGCTGAACTGTGGAGATAGACGCAGTCCTGCTGCAGAGGAGACCCCTGTTAATAATTTCATTAAAATTCCTGTAGACTTTTTTTCTCTGCATATAAACAAATATATGTGTTTATATCTTTGCACAAATGTAATTTTAAAAGCAAATATTGGCTCGTCCTGTGCTTGCTTTTCTGAGAACCTGGATAAAGTAATCTTTCCATGTTGCTACATGTAAAGCTATTCCAATCTTTAATGGCTGCAGAGTACTCATTGTTTGAATGGACTATAATTTATTTAACCAATTGGACCTTTAATGATGAGCTTATAGGTTGTTTCTAGTTTTTCACTACCACAAACACTCTTGCAATGAGTATTTTTGTACACATATCTTCTTTGCACATTTGGCAGGGAGAAGTGGGTTAAATTCCAGGGACTGTGTCTCATTCATCTCTGTACCCTCAGCACCAGGCATAAAGTAGGTGCTCAGTAAAAGTATTAAAGTGCCTTGAATTTAGGTCTTTGAGGTCCTGCAGTGTCTCATTTATCTTTCTATTTTTAGCATCTACAACAGTGACCAACAGCACAAAAAATTGTTTTCTAAATGAATAATCTCAAGGATATTCCACCCAGAAAAGGAAAGTATCAAGTAGTGACTTCAACTGTTAAGTGCTGTGTGCCTCAGAAGCATTGCCAGTGAGGAAGCACCCTGAGACGTTTCTAACGAGTGCTCTGCATTCCTCCCCCCTCCCTCTCCTCCTTGTGATGAGTGGTGATGTCCTCCTTCTCCTGGGCAGTAGAAAGGCTAGAGAAAAATTCTCCATAGATAATTGGTTAGAGTGAGAAGTTAAAGACTCTTGTCTTCCCTTGAAAATTGTTTCTTTTGGGGCCAGCCCGGTGGCACAGCGGTTAAGTTCGCACATTCTGCTTCAGCAGCCTGGGGTTCACTAGTTCGGATCCCAGATGCAGACCTACGCACCACTAGTCAAGCCATGCTGTGGTAGGCATTCCACATATAAAGTAGAGGAAGATGGGCACGGATGTGAGCTCAGGGCCAGTCTTCCTCAGCAAAAAGAGGATTGGCAGCAGATGTTAGCTTAGGGCTAATCTTCCTCAAAAAAACAGTGGAAAAAATTACGTTTCTTTTTTACCTCCAGGATGCTCTTCACAGAACCTTTCAAGCAGCACAGTTTCTTGTTCAGCCTTGCATGACTAGAACCGAGTGAGATGCCTCGAGAGTAGGCCTTCAGTAAATGAGTGGAGAGTAGATGAATCGAGCAGGCATTGAGCTATGCAGCTGGCGTAATCTGAGAAAGTTTCTAAAGGTTTTGACCATTTTCCCAAGTTTAAATCCTATTCCAGTTCTTTGTGTTCAGTGATGCCTCTTGTATTGTATATTAAACTTTACTTATAATAGGGTCTATTTCTGAGCTTCATTTTCTATTCCGTTAATCTATCCATCTATTTTTTTGGTCCCAGTCCATATAGTTTTAATTCTTCTTGTTTTAGAATGTCCTAATAACTTATAAGATAAGGCTAGTTATACCTCATAATTCCTCTTTCCCAAAACAGTATGTTTTACTCTTGCTCATTTATATTTCTAAAATGCCTAAAAATATTTGGATGTTTTCTAATAAAAACAGCGTATTGAGAGTTTTGATTGAGATTACATTAAATCTACAAATTAATTTCTTTATTGGCATCTTTGTACTAATCTTTCTATCATATAACATGGTATATTTTCCCCTTTCATTCGGACTTTCTGTTATATGTTTTAGTAAAAATGTGTGTTATTCTATGGGTCTCTCATTCCACCAACGGTTACTGAACACCCAGTATTCCAACCCCACCTCCTGCTTCTATGGTCTCTGCTGGAGAGACAGAGATGAATGTGTCACAGCTCTTGCCTTCAGGGAGCTCTCTTTGGTGGACAAGAGAGAGACCTGATCACATAATTACAATTATAATAATTATTGTTATGAGCAGAAGCACAAGGTGCAAAGGAAGCAGAAGAGGGCTACCAACCAAGACTGAGGGCGTTAAGGAAGACTTCCTGGAGGAGGGGACTCCTGAACTGAGTCTTGAAGCAGAAGGGAAGTTAACCAGAAGAGGAGGGAAGAAAGAGTATTCCAGGCAGACAGAATGTTCATTGAAGTATATGTTCAAAAGTAAAGAGACGAGAAAAAATACTGAATTGTTGTAAGAGCTGCAAATAACTGGAGTATAGGATGACAGTGGGATGGTAACTGGAAACGAGGCTAGAAAGTAGGTGGGAGGGTGGCAGATTGTGAAGGGTGTGTGACAAGATAAGAGTTTGAATATAGGGTTGAAAGATTTAAGTAGAGGAGTGAAATGGTCAGATTTATGTTTTAAAAAAGGTCTCTAAAAGAGAAAATAATAAAGTTAAACAAAGGCTACTTTGGCTGCAGTGTGGCAGATGGCATGAAGGTGTTCCAGACTGAGGCAGAGCAGCTAGGCAGGGGGCTGTCGGAGTCATCTGGAGGTGACATGCCCTAAGGCAAGGGCAGTGGGCATAGAGGTGGAGAAGGAGGCGTTCCAGAGCTACGAAGGACATGGGCACACACACAAACAGCACGTGGGCACACTCGCACGCCCCCTCTTGTTAAGGTATTGCTGAGTGGTTTATGGTTTTTACTTGTTTAAGCAGGAGTTTTCCCCTATTGTATTCTGACTGATTATTGCTAACATAAGAAAGCTATTGTTTTTAAAAAATATATCTATCTTAAAAATATATCTATCTTCCACTTTTGGAACTTTTAATTCTAAGTGTTTAGTCAATTTCTTTGGCTTTTCTATGTATTTATTTTTATCTAAGTACTTCTGCTTATTGATATTTTTTGACCCTTCTCTTTTTTCCATTTTTATTATGAAAATCTCAAACTTAGACAAAAATAGAATAATAAGAGAAACCCTCATATGCCCTTCACTCAGATTCAATAACTATTAGGATTTGGTCCCGCTTACTTCATCTTTCCCTTTTTTGTGTTTTTATGCTGTTAGTGAAGTATTTTAAAGCAGAATCTCAGACCTCTTGTCATTTCAGCTCTACATACTTCAGTATGCATCTCTAAAAAATATGGATATTTTCTTATATAACCACAATGCCATTATCAGTCTTAGCAAAATCAATAATAATTCCTTGGTATACTTTAATATCTAGTGTATATTGATATTCCTTGTTTATCACAAAATATCTTTTAATAGTTGGTTTGTTCCAATCAGGATTTGAATCACACATCACATTTGCTAGTTTGGTCTCAAAAGACTGTTTTAATCTGTTAGCAGTCCATAACCTTACTCCCTTTTTAAGAAGATGCCATTGACTGTTGAAGAAACCAGGTCTGTTGTCCTGTAGAATGTCCTACCTTCTGGATTTGTCTTTTCCTTGCACTGTAATTTAACTCGCCCCTCTGACTCTCATATTTTCTATGAACTGGAGGTTAACTTTAATGACTAGTTAGATTCATGTTCATCTTTTCTGTGGGAGGAGGGTGCAAGACAGCTTCAGAGTTGGGCTGTGAAGTGCCACTTCTGTCTGATTGTCCCACTCCTAGGATGCTAAGATTGATCAGTGGTTCAGGTGATGACAGCTCATCCCTCCACTATAAATTTCCCCATCAACCTTTCATCAAATGAGTTCATCCCCTGATGACTGTCACCTGAATGAATTATTTCATCATAGGCTACAAAACTTTCTAAATTCTGTCCATCGTTTCACATTTATTAGCTGAATAAAGAACATTCATTCAATAATTGGGCTATTTGCTTGTCTTGAAATAGAATATGTACTGAAAAGACAAGATAAATGTTTAATTCATTTTGTTTTGTTCCAGTTTTTGGATTAAGGAGTGGTACCTTCATTGTCCCGTTTTAAGTGTCTGTCGATCTTGCTTCTATTTTATCGCTCGTTGCATCGGCTAGTCCACTGATTCCCCCCAGTGACTGCTTGTTATCTCAGCCTCTGAGACGTGAGTCTTCATTTGCACAAGAGCCTTTATATCCTTAGGTATGTGAGTGACTTTCTAAGTGCCGCACATCAGTCCATCTAGTCCTGTACTTTTCAGGAGAGGAACAGTTTTTCCTTTGGTTTCTCTTCTCTTGTTCCAGGTCACACTGTGAACAAGATGCGTCGACACTCAGATTCAGAAGTGGCTTGTCTTGCCAGAGAAGTTTACACTGAGTGGAGAACTTTCATTGAAAAACATTTGGATAGACCTTCTATTGAAGTCCGAAGTGATCCCAAAACTGAGACATTCCGGAAAAAAGCCCAGAAATTACTCTCAGAAGCCTTGGAATTAGAGGTAATGTCCTGGTCGGAATGTGAGTATTATGTGCTCTTGGTTGAATGAGCCTCATGTTTTCATAATGAACTTTCATAGTCTTAGTGCTGTGGCTTTATTCTGTTTTTTCAAGGATTCTGGATTTGTAAGCGTTCTGGGAGCCAGTGTGACAGAGAGTGCAGGCTTGGAACCAGCAAGACCTGGATTCAAACCCTGGCTCTAGTGTGTACTGGTTGTGATACCTTAGGCAAATCCCGTAACATTTCTGAGGCTTGATTTTTTTTATGTGTAAAATGAGGATTATAACTCCTACCACCCAAGATTATTGGAAAGATTAAATGAACCATTTATACAGAGGAATAGTGTAGTGCCTGGTGATTAGAAGTCAGTTAATGGGGGCCAGCCGGCCCCGTGGCCGAGTGGTTAAATTCGCGCGCTCTTCTTTGGTGGCCCAGAGTTTCGCCTTTTCAGATCCTGGGTGCGGACATGGCACTGCTCCTCAAGCCATGCTGAGGCAGCATCCCACATGCCACAACTAGAAGGACCCACAACTGAAAAATATGCAACTATGTACCAGGGGGCTTGGGGAGAAAAAGGAAAAATAAAATCTTTAAAAAAAACCAGTCAGTTAATGAATGCTGGTTCCTTCCCATTTAAAATTCTTTCCCTTCCCACTGAAGCAAAAATTCTGAGATAGACTCTGTTATGGAATATCACTGGCAAATACGTAGCTATCTATTGAAAAGACTGTACTTCCCCATTTTTTGTCAACACTCATACCTTTAGTTTTAGGGCATGTAATCAATTGGCTAGACACAATCCCTATCATCTTCATAACTAAAAGTTCAGATGATGGTAGTGGTTTGAGGTACACATGCTAGAAGAAGGATTTTTGCTTATTAACGATAATCATCATCATCATCGAGCAACTCTTATAAGTCAATATTCTGGAAAAATAGGGCATATAACATGCATATTTTTTCTTATTCTCAGGGTAGCCATATTAAAGTATCCTTTAAGAATAAATATTTATATTTATTAACAAAAGAAGCAATTCAGAAGTCTGGTGTAAATGCTAGGTCTGTTACTGCATTCTCTGAAAAAATATTTTAACCTTTCCATCTCAATTACGCATCCACAAAAGAAAGGCAAATGGACTTGTGGTGTATTATTTACCTTTTAAAAGTGAAGTTTTGGGTTTTTTAATATAAAGTTATGACAGAAAATAAGAAAAATATAGAAAGGAAACATAAGATCACCATTGAACTTACCACCTAGACATAATCTTAACGTTTTGGTACATTTCCTGTTTGGTAAATTATTATAGCTCTTTAAATGAATGCTGGGCAAGTTATGGTTATCCCAGATTTTTTAAGAGCCAATTATATGCCAAATGTTCCATAAGATATTTTTATTGATTATTTAAATAACATTGCAGAAAATTGACAGTTATTTATATTTGTGCTGTATTTTTAATCTTGATCAATATCACTGTCATTTTGTATATCCTTTTGTATATATCTTTATTTTTTTATGTTTATCATTTTTAATGTCTATTGATAGTTCAGTGAATTAATATGCTATAAGTTTGCTTAACTTTTCCTAAAGGAAGCTTTAATATGAATGTTAAGCCCTTGGAAGAGAGAAAAAAATATGAAAATTGTAAGTCTAATTTTCCAGAGTATTGATTAGCCAACAAAACTTGCTATTTGATATTTTAAATAAAGTTTATTTTTTAAATAAACCAGAATTATTGCAGAAACATAGTGTATGGGTATATAATGTGTAGTTAATGTGGTGGTAAATACCAGTTCCCTGTGGTATCTTTTTAAGTAAATGATAATAACGAAGCTATGCTTGTAAGGATTAATGAGCAGTTTGCCGGCTATATTAAACTCCATAGTAATTATCCTTTTAGTTTATCCATTAATTATCCTTTAAATGGCACATCAAGTGGTAAGCACTCAAGTGTTACAAAGCAAAGTTAAAAAAGTGATACATTCGTTAGTGCCTTCCAATGTAATTGGAAAAAATATCAGATTAAGCATAGTTGAATGGTTTTATTCCCAAAGAGTAAATTTTAAAAATTAAAAGTATGCATCTTACCATCTTCCTTGGCCAAAAAAATCAATCTCTTTTCCTTGCATAAACGGCATTTGATAGTATTTTTATTAGTTTGGTATGTCAGAGAATATGAACACTTTTACAGAGTTAACTCTTAGCACCTATTGTCATCTGAAACATGTCCATATTCGGGTAGATCGATGAACCATCTGATCCAGGGTCTGGTTTTTGACAGTAACAAATGTTGAGTGCATTCAGATCAGACATCAGATCGCCACAAATGTACCTTATCAGTCAGTAGTAAACCAGTGGGTAAGTTATTGGCCCAGAGACTAAAAAAAAAAGCCTTTACAATTTGATCTTAGCATGTGTTTCTGCAAATCCGCTCATTACGTTTTTGTAGAAGAAATGTTTCCATGTTACTTGTTTTGGTCATATCCTTTAGTAGTAAAAGCCACAGATGAAGAACGAACACATAGCCAAAAGGTGCATCTCTTTATTACTCTACAGATCTTGCTTGCCAGATTCATGGACTATTTCCTTGTTCTTGGAATAATGGAATGGATGAATAAAAACTCCATTGTTGAGACCCACGCTCCCTTCCCCTTTACTTTCTCCCTTCCGGATCTTTTTTGTTCTTCCTTGCCTCTTAGATCTCTCCTCATATGAACATCTCCTGTGGTGTCATTCTCTTACTTCCCCTACCTCATTATCCACTCTCCTTCCTACCTCACGGCCTGTGATCATTTTCCTATTATGTCATTAAAAAAAATGAGCCTGATTCTCAAAGTGAGCCTGTATCATTAAGAGTTATGAAACACTGGTTGGTTGGCCCAGTTGGTTGTCAGATGGTGCTAATGAGATCCAGGTCAGGGGTACGTCCCCATATGGGACTGTTAGGTTTTTCTTTGTTTAATGGCCTCAGACTACACCTCTGGCTTTGACCAGCTCTCTCATAAATGTATTCAAGTGGTCAAAAAGGATTGTGGGTAGATATGTACAAATCCAGTCATGCTACTGGAAAACTCATACAAAGTTTGCTTCCAGTGGATAGTTAATTCAACAAATGTTTAGTAGTGCTACTACTAGTGCCAGGGGAGAATACTAACATAAATGAGATGCATTCCTGATCCTAAGAAAGCTTACTGTCTCCGGGCTGACAGCCTGTGAATGACTATCTGAATATAAGGCAGGATGAAATATGTCTGAAATAGTGGTACTAGCAAGTGGTTTAGACACATAAAAGATGGAACAGTGAAATCTGATGGGAGAATCCGGAAAGGTTTCATGAAAGAGATGGCAGGTGAACTAGCCTTTGTAAGAGGGGTGGGATTTTCCTAACTAGACATTAGATTTCATATTTTATCTGCTATGTATAGGATGTTATTGAAAGAGCAGGAAAGGAGGGAGGTGTACATAAGGGAAAATGACATTCATTTAACACATGTTTACTGAGCACTTACTCTGTTCCGGTACCTATGCTAGGCATGGGGAATTTAGAAATGGATCCAGCATGGTGTCAGCCCTGGAGGGGCTCACAAGTCTTCTGAGGGCGATAGGCAAATACGTAGTTAATACAATGTGGGAAGTTCTGCACTTCAGGTAAACACATGAGGAAGGCCGTCTTCCCTTGCTTTTTAAGAGCTTACAGAGGTGGCAGATGTCACTAATTGATTATGGCACCATTTCCCACTGGGTCCAGAATTCTTGATGAAAGACAGCTCTAGATGGTTGTGTTTAAATCTTCTCCCAACTGTAGCCTGTTCGTCCAGGATTGGACAACTGAGTAACACACACTCAACTCACAGGTACAAACAGACAAGGAAGGCAAATCAGATTCTTTGTCTCTGAGAAATGTGACCTAGGAAAAACTAAGAAAACAGCAGTGGGAGTGTTAACAGAAGGGATGCTGGAGGAGTTAGAGGAAGCAGAAGCTGTAGGTAGAGATGTGTAGAATAGAGGGAGAGAGTGAGGCAGTTGGAATTGGTAGTGAGTAAGGTGGATGGATAGGAGCTAAAGCCTATGAGAAGGAAGCCAGGCAGATGGTGAGAGGCAGACAGAAAGGACGTGGTTCCTAAATACAGCCTCGTTTCTTACAGCATTCCTGTTCCCATCCCCATTCAGACAAATCCATCGCACAGCAAAACCCCTTTTTCTCAAGGTCTCAGTGAGACAGTCCTTTCCCCCAAAAGGTCTTACCCCAAGCACCGGGTTAGGACCAATTGGAAAGGACTCAACAACTGGGGTAGATTTGGGTTATCCAAAGGCAATTATAAGATAGGCATTCTTCACTTTGTGCAGTGAACTTGTTATACACAAGGGTACAACGTGAATCATTTTCCCTTACGTAAATAAAGTGATTTCCACTTGAATACACTGATGTTTTTCTTCATTTCTTCCTTCTCATTGCCTTCATTTAACAGAAGGCACACATGAGAATTGTGAGATGCTCGCTTCCTGTTCCCATCATATTGTATGGCCCCTGTCCCGCTGCCCCGCGGCCCTCTGTGCACTGTCTCCTTCCTAGGCTGTGAGTTCCTGGAGGACAGGAGTCAGGTCTTTTCTGCTTGATGCCTCCGGTACTCAGCTTAGGCTGGACTCAGAGTAATGACTCAGTAAGTGTTTGCTGGATGAAGTGTGTATGAGTATTCAGGTATGTGAATTCCAAGGCACTCTCAGAGTTCTTTATTTTTTTTGGTATTACAGTTTGACAGAATGGCCATGTCCTGTTTGTAGATGCATGTACACCCTTCTTCCTCTAACAACCACTCCCCTCAAAAAAAAAGAGACTTTTTTCTGGCCTGTTACACTGTTATACTAAGTAAATCTCTAAACAGTCAGTGACTGTCATCACACTGGAATGCGGAGCCCCACGCTGGCATAAGGAGCCTCTCTGGCAGATGTTGCTGGACCAGTGCTGGACAGACAGACAGCCACCCTTCCAGCCTCCTAAAGTAGTCTGGTTCCAAGGCTCTCTCAGGCCCAGGGCTAGTTCAGCGCCACCCAGGAGGCCATGAAAAGCTCGAGGAGTCTGGGTTCTGGAGAGCCGTGGCCCCAAGTCCACTCACTACAGCACAGCTTTGGGGATAATCAGTCAGTCATCAGGACCACAGACCTCCCTGGGCACCTCTTGTCTGCTACCCTCAGGCAGATGTCTGGACCTGGGTGTTCATTCTCTCTGTCTCTCTCTCTCAGTCCTGTTCTGCTCCCTGCTTGGTCCTTATGTCTTTCAAGTCTCTTTTTTTCTATTTGTTTTGTTCTGCCGGTCTCTCTTTTATGTTAGGACATTTTATCAAATGTCAGGTGATCCTTCTTTATTTTGGGTGCATTTTTTCCTTTATCTTCTCTGTTTAAATAGAAAGATAGTACATATATAGCAAAGCACACAAAAGATGCATGTGCAGCTCAGTGAATTTGTCACAAAGCCAATGCCACTTCACCTGGCCCGATCCTACTCAATCTCCAGGCGTCAGGTCAAACGTCATTTCCTGCTCAAGCCGGGCTCTCCCTTCTGGGGTTGGGTCCCTTAGTGTTTACTGGTGTGGTGCTCTGCACCCCAGCCCTCACCGCTATCCCCTGTCCTAGCACTCAGGTCACTTACAATCCCTATTGACGGCTGTCTCCAGCTGGGCTGTGCTCTCCGTGGAGTCAGGGACTGTGCTGGCCCCTTCACTGCCTTTTCCTCGGCCCAAGCACAGAGCCTGGCACATAGTAGGTGCTGAATAAGTATTTGAATGAGCGGTGGCGTAGTAGGGGAGGAGTGAAGGGAAAAAAGGAAGTGAGAGAGTGGAATTTGTTTCCTGTTTTCAAGGAGCTCACTGTCAGGGAAGACAAACTCAAAAAATAGATCATTATAATGCATGATGAAAATGACTCAGGGAGGCTCAGGACAGTGTGGCAGCCCGAAGAAGAGCCTTCAGTCCTTGAGCTGAGGTTTGCTTTTTTGCTTCCTGCTTTTAGCTAGGCTTTGACATGCCCCTAGGAAAGTGTTTCCTCGGGGAAGGGTGCCTTGCTGGGGAACAGGGCCCCGTGTGGAGACATGTGAATGCAGCATAGCTTGCTCAGGCTAGGCCCTGGTCAGGACTAGGGAGGCGAATAGCGGCAGGTGGGTCTGGAAAGGAAGGTGGTGAGGGGGTCCCTGACCAGCAGTCCAGTCTGCCCTGGATCCAGATGGTGTGGACAAAGTCCCAGACCTGTCCTGCTGTGATTAGGTCTGTGACTTCAGGAGGGCTTGGGCTCCGGACCACCCCAGCATTGCTCCAGGTCCCGTCCCCTGGACCTCCTCTGCTCGGCTGACCCTCCAGAGGTCTCTCCAAATTCAGCTGGTCTCTCAGAAGGTGGAGGGGGCAGCCAGGATGGTGAAAGGGGAGGAGCATGCACTGTGGAGTCGGGGCTCTGCTCAGAGGCCCAGCTCTGCTTCCTAGCAGTTGTAAGACCTTGAACCTTTCTTTACCTTTGAACCTGTTTCCTCATCTGTAAAATGAGATAATAGGAGTCGTGAGCATTAAATGTGAAAAGTGATTTATGGACTGCTCTACACACATATTAGGATCCAGACCCAGTGTTTCTAAAATGCTGTATGGGGTTAAAAGGCACTTGAAAACAAAAAAAAGTATAAACTGTTATACTGATTTATTATCCTTGGTCTTCGTTTCCTGGTTGGTCAAGTATGGGGCCCAGTACCCGTTGCTTAGTTCAGGCCGGTTTCCTGTCATAATGGCATATATTACCACCCGGCAGGGGTTGTGAATGAGGTCCCTGTCACAAAGCACATGGCCTTGTTCCTTAATTGCCAGGGTGGAATTAATTTGCTCTTCCTGTTTCTCTTGTGACAGGAAGTAGATGTCCTTGAATTTCAGTTGATTAATGGAGGCCTCTGAGCAGAGTGCTCCAGCCTCTCTTGCTTTTAATCCTTATGCAATGCAAGGCCCTAATTTGATAATTTTGCTGTTTTTTAGATGGATCACCTACTGGTTGAAAATATTGAGCGGGAAACGTTTCATCTCTGCTCCCGCCTCATTAATGGGCCTTACCGGCGGACGGTGAGAGCCCTGGTCTTCACATTAAAGCAACGAGCCGAAATCCGGGCTCAGGTGAAGGACGGCTCACTGCCGGTCGGCGCATTTGTACAGACCCACAAAAAATGACCTGAGGACGGTTCCGGCCCTGGGCTGGGCACAAAGGGGAACGCGCCTCTCTCTGCCATTCAAAGACTCTTTTGAGTTTGGGTGACGGCTGGTGCTGGCTGTGCTCCATTTTCCCCTAGTGCCATTCCTTCAGACAGACCGAGGACACACAGAGCCTGGGAGACGGGCCTGCAGGAGACGCTTCATTAGCTGGAGTGTGCTGGTGCTGCCTAACGGGACGTCAGCTGGCTGTCACTGGGAAGCGCCGTACAGTTGCCGTCACCCAACACAGGGAAAGGGTGACGGATTTCACTGTGAGTGTGCCAAGGACACCTCTAAACTTCCCTGTGTCAGACAGATGAAGTTACTACTTTATTTCGCCACCCTGCAGGTAACTGAAACTCAATTACAGCTGCCACCGCTCAGTTCCGTCCCCCGAGTTTAGATAACTCCGGTGCCTCTCAGAACTCCCCGTCTGTTCTCTTTGCTCTACCCCAGGGGTGAGCCTGCTGGAGCCAGCCACCTCCCCTTTCTTTCCAGAACTCACTTATCTGAAGGTTTCAGCTCTCCCTGGAAGACCTTCTGCACTGGTCTCAGGAGCCCCCATGCTGAGGCTTCTAATGAGGGACTGGCTGAAGCATCCCCAGGCCTTGGGGCTTATTTGAATACATTGGCGCTCTCGGTTTAGGGCTTGGTAGAAGATATGTAATGAAATTTCCCTTGAAATGAATTACTGTTGTAGAAAAATGACATACATGTACATTTAAAAATGAAATACCTCTCTGTGGACCTGCTTGAGCAATTATGTACGTGATATTTGCTTTTTTAAAATAATAATAAACTGGGAATTTTTTTCCCCAAAACAAAAGTTATGGCTTGTTCATTGAAAAGTGTTTTGGATTGAGAAAGAGTATAATTGGCCAAAATAATGATTGGACAGGAAGTTGAGGGAGATAGCAGTACCCAAGGAAGGTTTTTAGTGGGTGGGGGGAGGGGCGGGACTAGACCATATTTGTAATCTGGAAAGAGGAGCAGATAGAAAGGGAGAGATTTAAAATACAAAAAAAGAGAGGATGGGTTACAAGCAAGGACAGGAAAAAAGAAGAGAAGGGACTAATATTGTCTACCTGCTTTTTTTTTAAATGCTAACTTTACAGATCTTTTTTTTTTTTTTTTGGTGAGGGAGGTTGGCCCTGAGCTAACATCTGTTGCTAATCTTCCTCTTTTTTTTTTTCTCCCCAAAGCCCCAGTACATAATTGTATATCCTAGTTGTAGGTCTTTCTAGTTCTATGTGGAACGCCGCCACCGCATGGCCTGATGAGCAGTGCCAGGTCCACGCCCAGGATCCAAACCCGCGAACCCTGAGCCGCCCAAGGGGAGCGCGCAAACTTAACCACTCGGCCAGGGGGCCGGCTGCTAACATTGTCTACCTTCTAAGTCTAGGTACACTTCCTAAGATAATTGATGAGCATTTCCATTGCTCTTTATATACTTTAAAAACTGTTGCTTAATTCTCCCACCTGTTTTATTAGCAGGTATTGTTTCCGTCTTTTAGATGTCTTTATTCAGTAGCCGTTCACTGAGTGCCCATTCCATGGGTCACTGTGGGTACCGAGCAGGAGCTGCAGGTGAGACCCTGCGCTCAGCAAGCAGGAGTGTCTTGTTCAGTCTCCCACTGCTGGCAGCTGTTGGAACAGAATAATAATTGAGCAGTTAACCATGTGCTCAGCACTATGGTAGACATTTAAAATAATAATGACAGTACCCAATTAAAGATGAGAAAAGTGAGGCTCAGAATGGTGTAGTAGGGGCCAGTGTGGTGACATAGTGGTTAAGTTCACACACTCTGCTTCAGCGGCCTGGAGTTCACAGGTTCGAATCCTGGGTGCAGACCTACACACCACTCATGAAGCCATGTTGTGGAGTCATCCCACATACAAAGTGGAGGAAGATTGGCACAGGTGTTAGCTCAGTGACAGTCTTCCTCAAGCAAAAAGAGGAAGATTGGCAACAGATGTTAACTCAAGGCCAATCTTCCTCACCAAAAAAATAAAATAAAATGGTGTAGTAACTTCCTCAAGGTCATACAATTAGTGAATGGCAGATCTAAGATCAAAGCCCAGGGCTCTCTGACTATATACAATCTCCCTGGTTGATTTCATCTACTCTCATGATTCAAACATCATTTACATGCCAATGACACTCCAGTTTGTATCTTCAACCCATACCCGTCCCCTGAGTTTCAGACAATGTCTTCTAGATGTCCCGTGGGCATCTCAGGTGTAACATGTCTTCTCTTACTTGGCAATACTGGCAGTGCAGGCACTCCAGCTAGGAACTCAGGACTCAGCCTAGACCCCTCCTCTCCCACCCTCACCCAACCAAGGCCTGATGGTTAAAAGCTCATGCGTATTTAGAATCTCTTGCCTCTCCTCTATCTCTAGTACGACTTCAGGACTGCATCCTCTCACGCCCAGACTGACTATATGGCTTCCTAAGTGGTCCCTCTGCTTCCAGTCTTAACCTCTTCAAATTCACCTTTCTATGCTAGAAACAAAGTGACTTTCAAAACTGGAAACCCCAGCGTGCCACTCCCCCTCTGAGCATCTTCATGTGCCGTTTCTGTCTCTGGAATGCTGCTCTCCTCCTGATTTCCCCTCCTGCCCCAGCGTGGTGTCCTGTGTGCTGTTCTATCCATGTCTTCATCTTCTGTGCTGCTGCTTTCGAATCTGTCTCCCCACTAAACTGTAACCTCCTGATGTCAGGAATCCTGTCTTACTCACTGGGTGTCTTCAGTGCCTAAAACAGTGCTTGTCCAGGAGTACCCAATAAATATTTGTGGAATTGATAGGTATCCAGGTGTTGTTTGTGCTCTTCCTGCTTCCACCCTTCCTTGTTTCCCTTGTAGTCTGTAATCCACAGAGTAGCCAGAATGAACCTTTTAAAACGTAAAGCAAATCATCTGTCTTCTTTATCCCTTCTAGTGGCTTCCATCTCACTCAGAGCAAAATCCTAAGCCCTTACTGTGTCCTGCAAGGCCCAGTGTGAACTGGCTCCTGGCTGCCTCTTTGACTTCATTTCCTAACATTCTCTGCGTTTCTCACACCCCTGTGGTCCCACTGGCTCCCTTGCTAAACACACATACCAAGCATGCTGCTGCCTCAGGGCCTTTGCACTCACACTTCCCTGATCGCAGTGCTCTTTCTGTGGATCTCTGCGTGTTCCTGTCCTGATTTGATTCAGTTCTCTGTTTGCTTTATCAGAAAGGCCTTTGTTGACTACTCTAAATAGAACAGCACTCCCTCCTAACCCTTTTCTAATACTCTACCCTGCTTCATTTTTTTTCAGAGTATTTATCACCCCTTGATACAGTTATTTATTTCTTTATTGTCTGTCGCCACCCCCCCTTCAAGAATTTAAGCTTCTTGAAAGCAGAGTCTTTGTTTTGTTCCCTTCTGTATCTCCACACACAAGCTAGGTCTCCATAACCATTTTATTGAATAGTTGAATGACTAGTTACGAGTGTACAGGAAAGGCATCTAATCCAGTCAGGGAATGCTTCCTGGAGGAGGTGATACCCGTGTGCAGTCTTAAAGGGCAGAAGTAGGTAATTGGCTGGTTGAGGTGTATGCCTGGCAGAGAAAGCAGAGTAAGGAAAGACTCAGAACTGTGAGATATCTGGAAGGTGTTTGGTATGGCTGGAGTGGAGCACACATGCAGGAGAATAGCTGGAGATGAGGCAGGAGAGGAACACAAGGACCAGAACCAAATCTGAAGGGTCCTGAGCATCAGGTGAAGGTGTTTGGATTAGCAGGAATTGGTTGGTCTTCTGTTAACAGGCTGTGGAAGGCAAGCTGGAGCGGGGGAAGAGACTGGAAGTAGGAAGCTTCATTTATAAACACCCAGAAAGTTCTGCCAACTTAGGAACGCAGGGTAAGTCGAAAACCAATTGCTCTCTGGCTGAGAGGCTTAGGTGGTGATAGTTGGAAAGTAACGTGATTGCAGAGATGTGCCCTGTAGAATGGGAGAGCAGGCTGGGTTATTCGTGGCTGTTTCCTTCTTGATGCATGTGCAGAATTCCCGTGAACACTCATCGAGCTATTCTGGGTGCCTGCTGAGGGGCACAAGGCTCGCAGACCCCGTCTAAGCTGGCCCGCTGCTAAGAACCCACTGAGCTCCAGCCTGCCGGAGTGAAAGGGTCACTTCTGAAATGGGGCAGAAGTTCCAAGGACCGCGGAGTTACCGTGGGTCTCGGCATGAATATGTCTTCCAAATGTGTTTGGTTGCTAGAGGAAATTTGGGAAATTAAATACTATTAGAATCTGCTCCAATAGCTGATTGATCCTTTTCTTGTGGTGGTTAGATTGGAGCTCCTGATCCTTTGGGTAGGGATTGAGTCTGTATTTTCATTCATTCACTCAACACACAAATGTTACCCATCTGCTGTGTGCCAAGGACGAGACAGTCACTGGAGAAACTGCAGTAAATGAGATCTAATTTCCACCCTTGGGGGAGTCTTAGTCTGGTGGGGAGATAGACACAGGGGTAGATAATGATAGTATAGCACATTTGGTGTTTACCGTAGATATTCCTTTTAAATGTTGAGAAAGTGGAAAAAGGGGTCATTGACACCATTCTAAGGCAAGCAGAGTCTCCAGAGAGGGTTGACATTTGAACCCAGCCTTGAAGGATAGGTAGGAGTTCTCAGCAGAGGGAGGGGGTGTGCAAAGCACAGAGGTGTGACGCACATGCCTCGTTTCAGGAAAGGCAAACAGTATGGACGGTGGAGGCGCAAGGTTCTTAGGCATGACGATGGAGAGAAACGAGGCGAAAAAGGAGACAGGGCTGGGAGGCCTTGTAGAGGAGCTTGGCCTGTGGCCTTCAGATGGTGGGAGGCCTGAGGAGTTTTGAGGATGCATTTTGGAAAGGTAAAAACGTTCTTACATAAACAGGTATGTAAGAAAAGTTTTAAAAATTTAAAAGCCCCAACAATTTAAGGCAAAGGAAAGAAACACTGTGAGACTCAGTAAATTAGATTTTTTTTTTGACAAATGAAGTTTAGAGTTGACCAAACAAATATCATTAGACTCCCAGGTTTAAAAAACGGCAGGAAGCTCAGATAACACACTTTCTGCATTCAGTGGTGAAGAAACAGGCATCTGGCCTTTTTTCATTTAGAGAATATCAGGTTCTTAAACTTGTGCCTGTCAACCTCGGTTTTCTTTTGCTGCAGCCTCAGGCCTCAGAGCCTCGCTCTGAGATTTGTAATGTGTTCTGGATGCGTTTATTACAGGCAGCTGGGGCGAGGGCTTAGTTTGTTACTGCCCATTATTGCTGTCGAAGGGAGCCCATCCAGAAAACAAGGGCTTGGGAGCTTCGATTAGTTCGGTGACACTGCCTTGGTTTCAAAAGAGAGATGGTTTGATTGGATGACATTGTATTTTCTTTTAAATCCACCAAAATGATACAGTTGCTGTCAGGGGTAGCTTACCCATAAGCCAAGGAGGCTGGTTTCAGGATCCAGGACCAGGACGTCCAATCAAATGCTGCTGCTTCATCTTGTTAAAATCGTTCGTTCAGTGCGTATTTAGCGAGTTCTTATGTGCCAGGTCCGAGGGTCACAGGGATGAAGAAGACATAGTCTCTGGCCCCAAGAAGCTCACAGTCTAGTGAAGGAGAAAGATAAACAAACTTTAAAACAAGGCAAATGATTATGAATTATGGGAATTCAAAGAAAAGGAAATAAGCCAATAAACATGTTAGAAGATGCTCAACCTCACTAGTAATCAGGGAATAGCAAAGATTAGTGCCATCCTTAAAGACCTAGATGATACAGGAATACCGATCCCCATTATCTCTCTGTTTAA